ACGGCCACAAGCTGGGCGGCATCCTTGAGAACTAAAATGTTCAAAAGCACGTTCTGTGCTTGGCCTCTCCTCTCTAGATTGATGTGATGCCACGACATTGTGTGCAGCTACATCTATACTCGTCGTTTCCATGAATCTCCCGCAAATCCTCGTCGCACTCGAAGACGACCCAGAGGTCACGCGGCACGAAGCCCTGATCAAACAAGGGCACAACTCTTGCAAAATTCGGTCTACACCACGGTGCAGTCACTAATGCCGCACTGTGTCGCATCTGTCCTCCAGCTCTGGCTCAGGATCATCCAAGCTTAAGAAATCCTCCCAGCAGTCTCTCATGACTCAAAATGGTCTGAATCGGTCTGCAAGCCCACTGCAAGCCCACTGCAAGCCCACTGCAAGCACCACGGCTTCGGGCCTGGGCTGAGATGGCTGTGTTGAGCCCGCCAGCGAAGAGCTGCTCCTCGTCGGAGTCTGAACCTCTCGGGTCACAATGAGTCCGAGGGGATGAAAAAGGGGTGAGAAAGAGGGTGAAAGTATGATCCACGGGACACCACACCTTCCCAGCTTTGATGAACGAAGTCAGCCCAGCCCAGCCGACCTTCGGCATCCTGTGCAGAATGTACGAGAAAGGGCAGAAAGGGAAAACAAGCCGAGATGCCATCCAACGCCTCGTGCTCCCAAATGCCCACGTTACCAACTCCACCGAACATCACCGAACCCTCGAAACATCCCGTAACCCACGGCAACAACTGGTCTCCACAAATCGCAAAAACTCGGGCAGGGCACGTGCACAGATTTTGGGTTCAAGTGGAAGACATCGAACCGACCCGGAAGAACACACAAGACAAGCGTATGCGACAATAGAGCACAAGACCCACCACATCTTCTCACGGGGAAAACTACTTGGACGGCACAATTCGTGTTCGGTGATTCTCCCTTCTCTTAGCACGTGGTTGGCACCTCCTTGTCCAGGCGAGACGCCTCGCAAGGGGGGCGAAAGTGGGGGAAAGATAGGGGAAGAAGGGAAAGAAGGGAAAGAAGGGAAAGAAGGGAAAGAAGGGAAAGAAGGGAAAGAAGGGAAAGAAGGGAAAGAAGGGAAAGAAGGGAATGGGGACACACTGGAGGCTGCGGGGGGCCTTCCGGCCCTGGCGAGTGCCCGGGCGCGGGGAGCACGGCTCCACGTCGGCCTCGGCCTCCAACAACTCGAAGACAAATCCGAGAGAAATCCGAAATCCGAGAGAAAGCCGAGAGAGCTGAGAGAGACCTGCTGAGAGAGCTGAGAGACGGAGGATCACACCAAAGAGAAGAAGCAGAGAGATCCCCATACGTTCCCACTTTTTGCGAAATCACGCATATGACCCCACGGCCTCGTCGAGCCAAGGCTTCCCACCTGCTCAGAGCAACTATCATCCACGCAACGCTCGTGCTCCAATGCTCAATTGAATACTCTATGCCTGTGGCTCCGCGACTGCTCTCGCATGGCTCACAGTCAGACCCAGCTTTCACCACTTTTCAAAGATAGGGGTTGGCCACAAGAATAAACAGCAAAAGCCTCAAACCTGTCAAGCATTGGAAATCGTCACTCCGATGATCTGCGACGCAGACAGCGACTCTGTCCGAGCCTTGTCCAATCTTGTTTGCAGCATTTTGCAAATGGAATCCCCAGCGGACAGAGGACACAAAAATGGCGTGCTCTTGTGAACTGTGACATATCCGGCTTCGTGCGAATCTACAAGCCGCCTTGAGCAGTGCCACCATGACTCGGATGATGCCCATGATGCGTGGACTCAAACACAGCGTACTCTTGCGTACGGTGCCAGATTCTTGCTCAACGTGTGAATCTACGCAGTGGCGCGATGCTCACGTTCCCGGTGGACCCTTGTGAAATGTGAAACCCTGCTTCCATGTGCGAATTTACAACCGGGTGATGCTCATGATCCATTGCATACTCTTGTGAATGGTTGAGTTTGCGCATCCACAAGGGCACCGTGCGCGCGTGTTCGACCAACCCCACCCCCGGCTTAGCACCTTGGTGAGGGACCGCGGAGGGAAGAGCTTTTGTTCCTCCTTCGAAGTGGGCTTGCCGAGTGCCCGACTCCAACCCGAGCCGTCCGGCTTGGGGGGGGGGGGGGGGGGCGGGCCACATGGAGGTTTGGGTGCACACACACTTCCCTGCGGCACCCTGGCTCGGATTGAGGGCCCGGAGCGTTGAACTGTTCTGAAAGACAACTAGAGTAAACTCGGCCGTCCGCCTGCCAGGTCGCCACATTGTCCTCATGTGCAAGATGGGTGTGTGATTCTCTAACACACAGACAGACAGACAGAGAGAGAGAGAGAGAGCAAGAGAGAGAGAGAGAGCAAGAGAGAAAGAGAGAAAGAGAGAAAGAGAGCAAGAGAGAAAGAGAGAAAGAGAGAAAGAGAGAAAGAGAGAAAGAGGGACAGAGAGAAAGAGAGAAAGAGAGAAAGAGGGAAAGAGATAAAGAGAGAAAGAGAGAAAGAGAGAAAGAGAGAAAGAGGGAAAGAGAGAAAGAGAGAAAGAGAGAAAAATCACACAACAATCGCTGAACATGACTAGTTGGTCACCGATCCTGGGCAGCTCCATCCCCGGTCACTGCGCTGTTCCCAGGCTTGGTGGGAGGCTTCGTCCTTACCAGTCAGAGCCGATCTCAATTTTGGTAAACTGATTCAAGCCTGTCAAGAGACATCAGAAAGCGTGCGTCTCAAAAAGAGGAGGGCGGGTGGGGGGGGGTTGGGGGCACGCCTCCAAAGACTGGCAAGGACCACACGGACTTGAAGGGTCTTTGCATTCGGATGGGCCGGATGGGCCGGATGGGCCAGATGGGCCCGATCCGGCAGCAGATGGCCAGCTCAGCGTTTCAAGAGAAGCTTCGAGAAGCGCGCTCTGCGCAATGGAGCTGCATGCGCTCCACTGCGGGCGCTCCGCCCGCTCCGCCAGCTCCGCCAGCTCCGCCAGCGCCAGCAGCGGCTCGAACGCCGAGCTCTCTGAGCTTTGTGGCTCCGGCGGCTCCGGACCCTTCAAACCCTTGAATCTCGGGTCTCTGGATGTGTCTGGGTCTATCGGGTCTCTCAAGGGGTCTCTCGGCTCTGCATCCTCCTCTGACTCACCCTCGGAGTCGCTGGGAGATGCAGTTCTCGGCGCATCCTCGGAAGGAGTTGGATTGAGCTTGCGCCCGTTGCGCCCCCTCTCCTCCCGGATCCTCCACACATCCAGGACTGAACCCCCGTCCGCCCGGCGTGGCCTCGAGGCAACAGAGAGGGAGAGAGAGGGAGAGAGAGAGAGAGAGATAGACGGCCCTCTGATTTGTCCCTATATACTATGGTTCGACGACGGCTTGTCCGGCCTGTGGCCGCCAGCCGCCGACCGAGGCCGTGCCCCGAGCGCCAGGAAGGCGGCGGCCAAGGGGGAGGTCGGAGTGGAGGTGCACTCCGTGCACTCCGTGCACACCGTGCACTCCGTGCACTCCGACTCCGTCGATGCGCATTCCTGGCTTCGGTCACGGTCCAAGGCCAAAACGAAAGGCTCCATCCAGGCCGTATTGGCGGTGGAAACCCTTCTCTTCGTGGCCACCGTGGCTACCGTGGCTCAAACCAGGCTTGGCTGATAAAGGGTTGCGAGACAGAAGCGTGCTGCTGACGACTCGGGGCAACAGGGGCAACAGGGGCAACAGGGGCAACAGGGGCAACAGGGGCAACAGGGGCAACAGGGGCAACAGGGGCAACAGGGGCAACAGGGGCAACAGGGGCAACAGGGGCAACAGGGGCAACAGGGGCAACAGGGGCAACAGGGGCAACAGGGGACCTGACAGACACAGTGTGTAAGCTCCTTCCTACGCTTCCTCACAAGCTTGTCCCGCAGCCACCTTAAGATCCGACCAGATCCACAAACAGCATCATGCAGCGCAACCACTCCCTGTAAGGAAAGTTGCGGGGAGCCCCCCACAAAACCCTCTTTGCCTTTTCCTGCGCAACGTGTGTCAGATGCTCAGATGCCATCTGGCAGTGCAGAGGGTCTCTCTGCTCGCCCGCAGAGGGCAGGCTCGCTGCAAGCTCCGACGGTGGTGGGAGTCACAGCCTTGTCCCAGCCACCAGGTCACAAAGATGGCTTAGCTGCTACATCTTGCTCTACATCTTCTACATCTTCTTCTACGCTGCGGGAAAACCGGCGCAGGATGAAGCAGCACAAAACGCCGCACGCCTGCGCAGGCGGGTGTGGCGCCTCCAGGTGCGCTCGGGCCTCCCCTGTGCCAAAAAGCACCCACGAGAATCAGAAACCCCTATCACGCCAGTAGCCAGCAAAACTAAGCAAGTTCAAACACTCCAACATCTCCCAAGAGAAGTCAATGACAGGCAGCGTACGGTTCCAACCTTCACCCTCCATTTGCGCGTAGGCCTCGGAGCAGCAACTCTGTGAAATGTTTGTTGCGTGATACTGCTTCGAGAATTTTCACCGAAGGGCGAGAGGATTGCTCCTGTGCAGCAAGGTCTTGAGAAGCCTCGGCAGAGACGGCTTGACAGCAGAACGATTGCTTGCAGCTATGTGCATGCATTGGCTAAAGTGGCTAAAGACCGAGCAAGGCAAATCGGAATCTCTTTTGCCACAGGCGACACGCGTGAACATCTGAGGGCGGAGGGCCGTGAGCCCGCGGAAGGCGGAACACAGAGGGAGAGAGCCAGTTTTGGCCTCGTTCTCTCTAATTCCCTCCTAAGCTTGGAGAGAGTTGCTGCTTGGCACGGGAACATGCTGGAAACCCATTAAGAGGCGCGGAAGACTCGGAACATGCTTGTGAACTCGAGATGCATATCACACCGGCCTGTCCGCGCTCGTTGTGACCAGGTCCAGAGTGACACTGTGCGCGTGTGTGACTCACTCACACACACGCACCAGCACGGCGCATTTGGTCGAGGCCAAGCGAAGCCCTTGTACTGGAAAGTGTATGCACAGATGCACAGCATCGACCAAAAAAGGGCCTGTGCTCGACAAATTAAAACTCAAGATCCCAATGAGTGCCATCGTCATCGTAGCTTTCGAAAATCTCCTCCTCCCCAGGGCTTAGATGCTCCGGGCCCCGCAGCCACGGAGAGGCGATCTCCTCACACGTGAAACACGGATGCTTTCATACCCAGACTTTGCTACACTCTTTGCTGCTCGGCCTCCCTCTCCCGCTCTCCCACTCTCCCGCTCTCCCGCTCTCCCTCTCTCCCTCTCTCCCTCGCCTCCCTCGCCTCAAGTGTTTGACATGAGGCGGGGCTATTTCACCAGTCAGGAGAACAGAGCTGCAAGAGGCCCCCAGTGCAGTCAGGTTGCTGGGGATGTTTTCTTTGAAGACTTCCACGGCCTGCGAGTTGTGTTGCGAATGGCACACGTGAGCAGTGACCCGCATGAAAGCCCGCCATCAAACCTTAATCCTGAAAAAGTTTTTGCTTTGGTGGTTGAATACACAAGCGCTCCTCTCCACAGGCGTCTGCAGCATCTGCTCGTGCAGGGCCGAGAAGTCGAAATCTGGCCAAACACCGGACATCGCTCTGTGCTCAGGATGCACATGCCATCACATGCCACATGCCGCAGCTACGGAGATGCTAAAGCGATGGCATGCCATGGCGGCCATGGCCCCTCGCACCTTTGAAGAAGTAGTGCGAGCGCACCTCCTCCGCGCCTCCCTGCGATCGGATTGCACAGTCGCTTCACCCCTCCCTTTGCAACAGCATCGGTCTCCCCATATACCAGCCATTTCCGGCCCATATGCCCACACATCCACATGCGTCCACCTGGGCTCCGAGTCGAAGCGGAAGTTTCCGCAACAACCGCGCGACGAAGGCTTTGCCTTCGGCCGGGCAGTCTGCGGGGAAGTTGAGACGTTGCCTCGTGCGACACTTTGCAAAATCCGGACTCACTATTGCTGTCATTCTCAGAGAGTCAAAGAGCTGCTCAAAGGTTCTTCCCATGCTTCGGTGCCGAGCGGCTCTTGGCTTCGGCGAATGGCCAGCAGCCTCTCGCCCGTGTCCTCGAGCTCCTCATCGTCGAAGGGCCTCGTTGTAAGTTCACAAACAAAGCGCCCAGACACAGAGATTTTCGGAGCGTTTTCGGCGCATTTCGGCATGACATGTCTCATGCGTCTTCCCCGAGCGGCAGCTGCTGGCACAACATCTCCTGAAGTGCAACGTGGAAGATCGTGGAAGTGTGTCAGATGTGTCAGATTTCTGCCACACCACAAAGACAGGGATGTCGATAGGCATCGAGCACTAATCTCACGGCAAGCAACGTACATCAGCACGCCCAGCGACCACCAGTCGGCAGAGTTGTCGTGATAGTGTGGGGGGTCGATCATCTCCGGGGCCATGTAGTCTGGCGTCCCGGCCTCCAGCTGCGAAGTCGAAGAGACTCTAAGACCCCTCTGAGTGGCCCTCACAGTGAGGGTACATGATGCTCAGTCGTGGCGGGTCTCCTGCGTGTTTGTCTTGCCCACCACGAAGCGCGCCAAGCCCATGTCGCAGACTTTTCCGTAGCCCCTCGTGTCCAGCATGATGTTCCTGCTGGGCTGTGCGCTTGCTCGCGCTGGCTTGCGCTGGCTCGCGCTGGCTGTGCGACTGTTTGCTTGGATACCGGCATGGCGGCATGGCCTACTTTTTTTCAGCCCGAGCACTCTGGCTTGAGGTCTCTGTAGATAATCTTCCGCTCGTGCAGGTGCTCCAACGCAGCGATCACGCACCCAGCGTAGAAGGCCTCAGCCGCGCCGAAACGGGGCAAGAGTAGCAAAAAACCGTGCGCCAGAGTCCTGAATGTCCTGAGAACTCGAAGCAAAAGTGAACTGCCCTTTGAGACAGCGGCAGAAGTGTAGCCACGAGGCTGGTCAACCAGGAAAATGTCCTCGGCCCGGTTACTTGGAACTTTCCTCGAAACCCTGTCCCGACCCTTCAACTTTCGCGAACACCGGCACATGTGCCCGCACAGCGTACCCTTGTTCTACACCCCTGATGCTCCGCCAAAACAACGCAGCTCATTCTGTGAAGGTTTCGGCAAGAAAATACAGCTCGAAATACGAGGTTTGCTACGTGGGAGGAAGCGTTCCCACACTACGCTAACAACGCGCCATTCACCATGCAACACCTCACGTTTGTAGCAAGACAACCTGCCCTGGACAACAAGCTGTCCTGGTGGGAGCTGAACAAACCATACAGGTCCCCACCAAGTGCGACCTCCAGCAGGAAGTAAACGAACTGATGGTCCTGTCTGATCGTGCAACTGACGGTCGTATCGATGCTGGGGTGTCAAGCCACCACGTGCACAAGAACGTTCAGCTGCATTCGGTGAAACACATGATGTGTTTAACACATCGAACTAGACACTGCGAAACTTCGAGGCCTCACCTCTTTTGGAAGACCTGACACTAACAAGATACCAACAAAACACCGAAAAAAGTTGGGCCTTCTGGGAAATGAGTTTGATTGCGTTGTTCGCTGAAAATCTTTGGATTTTGGTAAAACAATCGGGAGAACGACTAGGGTCCCGTAGTACGAAGGCTCGAGGCCATCGTCAGGGATGCGGATCCAAGGCGGAACCGGATAAGCACAACCCTCACAGATACGCAGCTGCCCCCTTTCCCCCCCCCCCCCCCCCAAAGGCCTCTCCCCTCTCTTTTCCCTCTCTTGGGCATCCAATCTGTTCGGGGTCTTAAGACTACAAACCACCTCTGGGTACTCTGCACGTGGCTTTTCTATGTTTATGAGGGGGGCCCGGTGGTAACAGAAGTGTGGTGACAATAAAGTCCCGCTGGCCCAGAAGCCAACATGCCAACATGTTGCTGCAGATAGCTTTAGAGTTGAATTGCTAGAGATTTTTTTGGCGCAGCTGGGCAAAACAGCTCCAGAGGCTTCGGTCTGTAGAGTTTAGGCGGCAGCGCTTCAGACAGCCAGCTCTCCCTCGGAGATGGATGTGGCTCAGACAACAAGCCTCGAGTTTGAGAGGCGGACTTCAAAGAAGCCTGCTGAGCCTCCAGGGCCTGGATGTCGGCAAACTGCCAACGATCTCACACTAGCAGTTTCCTTCTTCAAGTCCTGTGTTTACAAGGGGCTCGAAAACCAATCCGGAAGGGGTACCCCTTCCCAGCCCCTGAGATGACAACAGTACCTGAGGCGGCAAAAGGTTCAAGGAAAGCAAACCGGACCCCAACCCCCTCCCCCCCCTCCCCCCCTCCCCCCCTCCCCCTCTTTCCCGAACCCTCATGCCGAGGGAGAAAATACGAGGGGGGGGGGGGGGGGGGGGGGCGAGCGAAGGAAGGGGGGGGGGGGTGAGCGGTATTTATGAAAGCGTGCGTCCCTAACTGTCGGTGTAATACTTTGTGGTTTATGCGTGGCTTCAACAGAAAGCACGCTAATCATGGCAGGATTGGGAAACGTGCTGGATATCTTCTGAAACTGTGAGCTCATGCTCGGTCGGCATTTAAGGGTCGGCGCGCTTGCTCTTCTCCACAAGGATCTACAAGCGGGCAAAATGGGACAAACTGTTGACTAACATTGCACACGGTGGGTGGATAGTTCGACCTCAAAGTCATCGATTCTTACTCGGGACACAAGGCGCGGTAATCCCGAAACTTGTCTTGAAGGACGGGACATTGTCAGCCGCCAGCCTGAAACTGTCCAAATGGCAATGCTCCCCGAACACAACCGCTCTTCCTCTTCCTCCTCTTCCTCCTCTTCCCCTTCCCCTTTCCCTCCCCCTCCCCTTCCTCTTCCTCCTCTCCTCCTCCCTTCCCCTTTCCCTCCCCCTCCCCTTCCTCTTCCTCCTCCTCCACCTCCACCTCGAGCGACTCGACACGAAGGACCGACACAAAGGACCGACACGAAGGACCGAACTCGCGCAACAGCGATTCGACATCCGAGCCAACCCTTTGCACTCCATGCACACTCCATGCACGCTCAAACGCGGTCCCGCATGGTCTTGTGAAGCCGTATGATGAAGTTGCTGTCGAGCATGTTGAGCAGGTCACGCTCCCAGCAAAGTGACTGGCAAGTCCCGCACCTCAACGCATGGCCTTTCCTGAGTGGGCGCTTCTCTTTTGGCGACAAAATCTCGTGAGGGCTGCACAAGGCAAGCTGCGATACCCGCTTCAGCGCATAGCGCTCTTGTGAAGGCTCATCCTCGACCAGGAAGACTGTGCCAAAAGCACCCTGACCCAAACCTCGGGAGGGCACAGTCACAAGCACACATGTAGAAACCAGCGCACCCTTACCACATCTTTACGAAATCTTACTCCGCCCCAGCATGTTGATAAGCACATGGCTTCATGCCAAGGCTCGGCAGACCTCCTTCACGGACTGGAGGCTGCAGCCGCATTCCAGCTTCTGGCGGCTGCGCGAGGTCTTGATCTTCTCCCACTCGCCTGACAAATCATGGGGAATGTTTCGAGGAGTGTCCAGAAAGTGCAACATAAGTACAAAGAGGAGTGCTTTCCAGAACTGAGCGCTGCTAACAAAGAACAAAAGAACAAGAAAGGAGCTTCGCTGGGCATCGATTCCAGAGTTCCGACAGATGCGACAGGCTTCCGCCGGGCGGCTTACATCTGTGTCCACATCCGGGAGCATGGACGCGTCGCTCGTGGACAGGTCTTGGTGCTGACATTGAATAGGAGGGAGAGGGGGAGGGGGGGAGAGGGGGAGAGGGGGAGAGGGGGAAAGAGGGGGAAAGAGGGGGAAAGAGGGAGAGATGGACAGAGGGCGGAGCAGGGGAAAGGGGGGGGAAAGGATGAGGGATGCGGGGGGCGGGAGGTGAAGCGGGAACAGGAAGAGAACAGGCCACTGCGACCAAGGGGCTGGTGAAGATGTCGCAAATCAGCTCGCCATCGAAGGTCAAGCAGGTCATGCCTTCAGGCCCGGCGTCCACGTTGACCTTTCAAAAGGCGGAGAGTCGGAGAGGGAACAGATGGGAAAAGAAGAAAGGAAAAAGATCACAGAAGCAACAGATATAAGCCACAGCACAAGAGCTTGCTCTCTTTCTTTCTTTGTTTCTTGCACCCGCGGTGACCAGCCTCGGAGATGCACTGCCCCGTCACCTTGGCGCGCAGAAGGGACCTCTCCCCGAAGGTGTTGCCTGCCAGAGTCTGAAAAGCGGCAAAGCCCAAAGAGAGCAGAGAGAGACAGAGAGGGAAAGAGCGAGGGATAGAAGAATAGAGAGGAGACAAAGAAATCAAAGAAAGGAACCACGGCGTGCGAATGGGCGTTGGGGCAGCGGCCTCGCGGCAGCTCCGCGATCTTCCGGCCTTATAGTCACTGGGCGAGGAAGAACAACAGGCACGCCGAGCACTGCCGATGGCACATTGGCCAGAAACCCAAGGTGTGGGCATTCCTGGCCATCGCTTTGGGTGAGGACAGCAGTGCCTTTGGAGATCACATACCTTCGAAAAATCCGACTGACACACGCGGCTGCGCAGGCTTCACCTTGCTTCTGCGACTTGCGGCGTGGTGTATGTGTTAGCCAAGAATCCAAACAGCTTTCTGGCGAACTTTTCCTGCGAGCAAGCTGAGCCGGAGAACAAGCTGAGCAAGACCCGCTGGTTCCATGACAAACGTATGTCCTTGGAAAAGGACTCGGTGATTCGGTTCGAACGTCACCATGTCTTGTGCAAAGGCAGCGAGCTCCATTCTTTCTGACCTGGCAATCTTGCCCCATCTTGTCATCGAAATGCGATTCATGACAGGATGTAAGGCCCACTGCCTGAGCAGAGGCGTCAGTGAGTCAACCTTAGCTGCGCGAGGCTGGGCACAAGGATTCCCGACCTTGTGAATCTATCGTTCTAGATAAGACTAGATTCGTACTTTTTTGCCTCTTGCCTTCCCTGAAGAGCTCACTTACTGTGGGAGCTGAGAGTATCGTTCCGACCCTCGTCTCCCACGGGCTCTCATTCGGAGTGTGCGAGCAAAACCATTCTGTCCCGATCGCTGAATCGGCGCGGCTCGGGGTTCAACTCAGGAGCCATCGAAAGGCGGAAAGGGGCAACGTGAGCCAGACCGAAAGCTCAACAGCAGATAACAGCAGCACTTTTTGCGTTGATGCAGCGATGAAAGCGAAACATAAAAGGAGCAGAGGGACTGGCCCCCTTCAAAAAGCATCCTGCGCAACGGACCGACACACACACACACACACACATACAGAGCAGCAAAACAGAATGAAGCAACCAGACAAAGGGCTTTTGCGTCACCAGAACATAACGAATCATGGGGGGAAATCTCCTCGAAGAAAGTTCATTCAATGCGCAGCTGCCCGGGGACCGGTCGGACCATTGCTCCCTCCTCCCAGCCACCTCCAGCTCGAGGTAGCCAAATTGAGTCAAGCATTGAGTCACAAGCCTCAGAAGCCTGATAAGAAGAGAGAGCGAGAGAGAGAGAGAGACCTTTTTGTTGGGCCCATTTCTCTCGCAGCTTTCCGCCTCTCCGAGCTGAACCTGTTCTGATCGAGTCTTCCAGGGGGCGACCCGTTGGGTGTGAGTTGATATCAATTTTGTAGGCCCCCCCTCATCTAAGGCCGAAAGCGCTCCATGGACGAGCGGCCCTTTCACAAAGTTAAAGTACGTTTGCCCTGAATACCTCAAACTTCCAGGGGCATGCAGTGCGGCTAGACTGAGGATGCTTCTGGGGTGCTCACTACTTGCCTGCCGGACTGGTCTGCAAGCCCTGACTTCGGCGAGGCACGTGAAGCACAGAAAAGCAGAAATGTTTATGATTGAAGACTCCGCGGGCTGCTGGGATCCGCTTGCCTCCCCTGCCACCCCCAGCCTCCCCCCCTTGAGTGTGGCACTTGTCATGTGGTCAGAACGGTCAGAGTCATACACACCCGTTCTACAAAAAAGACCCACACCAATGAGGCCCAGAGGAGCCCAGACCAGAGAGGAGCCCAGCACAAAGGAGCCCAGCACAGAAGGAGCCTCCCCCCTTGGAGCCTCACACATTGAAAAAAAAAGGCAGTGTCTCTCCGCAGAAGCGACACCTCGTCCAGCAGATCGCAGTACTCCTTGAACTTCTTCCGGCCGCTGTCACGACCTGGTCTCACACAAGGGTAGTGGCTTTGCCCGTGCACATGGGACCCCACCTGTGATTTCTTTGAAGATCTTGCGGTTGATCACCTAAGAGGAGGACATGCATCGACTAGCTACTCCGCCGTTCGAGATCCAAGTGTTGGGCAAACAGCTTCGTTTCCTCGGCCGCACGAAAAGTTGCCTCGGTTTCATCCCCCAATCTGACGCACCGCCAGCAGCGAGTTGGAGCTTCCTAAGGTTCCTGCCTCCCGGCGGATGTTGTAGAGCAGCGACAGCTCGCCAAAGCTATCCCCGGCATGCAGTGTGCTGATGACCTACGAGACAGAAAAAAACGGCCCCAAGTTATGTCGGAACCACATGAAAATATGAAAATGGACAGAAGGCTGCCGCTGCCCAGCATGGCGCACGCACTCGAATCCGACAGCATGCTCGGGGTTCTCTCTAATAAGTTGTTTCTGAGTCCTCTGTGTGCCTTCTCTTTCGGCTCCGGCTTCTGCGGCTTCTCCTCGACAGGCGGCTGGTCAGCGAGTTCGCCTGGTGCCCAGTGAGGCGCTCCGCACACGCATCCTTCACGCTATCCTCGCTTAGAGGCGAACACACGTGTGTGAAAACATGTTCTTTCGGAAACTTGCTGCGCCTATCTTCAACCTCCGCTTTGCAGACTTTTCGCGAAAAGAGGTGGCCGTGAAGGTCGAACTCACCCCAAGCCTCACATTTCGCGACGACTTCATGCGGACTGCTGCAAACTCATGCAATAGTTAACCAAGTTAACCCCCTTCCTTCTGTTTCCAGGGGTCTGGGCTCCTGGCGAGCCGGAGCCTGTAACATCCTCCTCTTCACGTGGATCCTCACACACAGAATGCGCAGATGCCATGTGGAATCGAAGGGTGTGGACAACGCTGCTGCTAGCGGTATGCGGTCCTTGGTGAGGACCGAGCAGCTTCGGTTGAACTTTGCCTTCTTCCGGTCCACGACAGGGATGTGCAGTTTCATGAGGAAGTCCTGCTTCCTGGTGGAGCTGCAAAGAGTCAGCAAGAGCAGCTGTTGGCACGCGAGCTGCTAAAGTGCAAAGATGAACTCAAGGTAAACCTATCGAGCAAAAAGTCAGTAGAGATCCGATGAGTTGGATTGCGCACCTGCGGATGCGGTCCGCCATGGAGAAGGTGGCAGCTGCGGCTGCCGCCGACTTTCCCTGACCTCTTTGACCTTGCTGCGCCTGAGTCTGTCCAGTGCTGATGATGACCTCGATGGTGCCTTGCCTGAGAGATTCGCCGTGTGATGCCACGCCATCTGCCATGCCATTCCTTAAGCCTTGTGCCATGAACAAAATCTGGGCTTCGGGCTCGATGACGTAGAAGTCATTTCCAAGATCCCCAAAGCTCGCGACGGCTTCGCCGCACTTCACCGTGCGCATCTCCGAGCTCGCGATCTCGGCTTCCACAAAACAGAAACAGAAACTGTCATATTGTGGGGAGAAACACTCGCTTGAGGAAGCTTCATGGTCCTTCACATTCTCCTTTCTCTTGGGAGGGAGGGAGGGGGGCGCTTACATGGCAAGGCACGATCTCCTTAATGGACTCCTCGCCAGGGCCGTTGGCGTTGTCAACGAAAGCCCTGAAATTCGGATTCTGTCTCATTGCCCGAATGATGGCCACTTGCTGCTCCGCGGTCAACTTCTTCATGCCTCGGCTTGCAGAGGAAAACTCGTGGAATTCGTGGAACTCGTGGAATCTTCAATCCTTCTCAGCTCCAAAAACATCCGGGTGGCAGAAAGACGACCGCTTCCTGAGTGCGCCGGGACTTGGACTCAGGACTGTTTCCGCACTTAACCAAGCGAGACACGGTGAGGCATGGGAGACTCTACTCAGACTCTACCCCCCCAGACTCTGCTCTATATAGGTCTGAGCAGCTTGGGTGACAACGGAGTGGTGGGCAGCAGATTGGCCTGGCTGACACCTGCAAAAAGGGCACTCCACTGCTTTGCGGGCTCTCACCTGTAGATGCTTTTCTAAAGGGGCTCTTCATGCAGCTCTTTTCGAGGCTCTGAGATATGAAGTCTCGGAAGAGGCTTGGGCGCAGTAACTCAGTACAGCTATGCTGCCTCCAACTTCGATGGCCGGCCGCTTCGGGAAGTGGAGCCTGGCCTTGAGCCCGGCCTTCTCGAAAGCCTCAACGCAACAACAAGGAAAAACAAATCTCTTTCTTGCCCGACACCTTTTGAACTCGCTTCATCTCTCTCTGTTTTCGCGCCTGCCTGCATCCGCTATTGCCAAGTTTTTTGAAACCATGGACACTTCTGACACTTGAAGGGCGCACCTTCTTCGACATTGAAAGCGTCACCAGCTCACCGACTGCCAGGACCGTGGCCATGTGCCGCTGCTCCGTGACGATAGCCCGTCCTAAACACAGCACAGCACAGCGCATCACAGCGCCCTCAACAAAAAGACATCTTTGAACCACGTTCTTGATCGGTGCCGTTACTGAAAGGCCTCCGATGTAGTCACCTGCGCTCAGGAGGCCAACCTCTTGATCCTGCGACGCGCAGACCGAGCGCCGAGACGGGCGCAGGCGCACGCGCTCTCTGAGGGTAGGGGATCAAAAAAAAATTATTTGGGATCAAAAAATAATTTATTTCTAGGCGGATCAAAACAAAACTTATTTGGGATCAAAAAATAATTTACTGAAGGCTTCGAAGGCTTCTTGCAAGCGGAGCGGAGGCTGTAAACGCTCAGAAATGCAGCAGTTCTGCCGCTTCGCAAGCTCTAAATACCGAAAAAACACAGCATTTATGCGGGAACTACTGAAAATAGCAGCATTTCTGAGTTTCCAGAGAGGCTGCAGATATTGTATATTGCAGCAGTTCTGCGCTTTCAGAGGCTGGAAATACTGTACACTGCAGCATTTCTGAGTTTCCAGAGGCTGCAAATACTAAAAATAGCAGCATTTCTGCGATTTCAGAGGCTGGAAATACTGTAAATAGCAGCATTTCTGAGTTTGCAGAGGCTGCAAATCAATGCGGGCATCTTGGCATTAGAAGTTTCAAAAAAATGCGTATACTCTGAAGCATGTATATTCTGGCATAGTGTTGTGGAAATTCTTGTATACTATTGTATGACATTGTATATTCTTGCATATTATTGTACATTGTTGTCTATATTGTTGAGTATTCTTGTATTGCCTTGTATTTTCTTGTGTTTTTTGTACAATATTGCATATTATTGAATGTTATTGAATATTTTTCAAATTCTTGTATATTGTTCTCTTTTTTTGTAGGTTACTGTATATTGTTGTATATTATTCAATTTTCTTTGTATGTTATTGCAGATTATTCTATATTATAGTATATTATTGTATATTATTGTATATTATTGTCTACTATTGTATATCATTGTAATTTTGTACACTGTTTTATATTGTTGTATGTCATTGTGTTTTTGTGTTTTCTATATTGCTGTACATTTTTTGTATATTTTTGAAAAATGTTTTATATATGGCTGTATCTTATTGTATATTTTTGTATACTTTTGTATATTATTGTATACTGTTGTCTATTATTGAATATTATTGTCAATTACTGAAAATTATTCTAAGTTATTCTTTTTTACGTGTATACTGCTGCAACTTCTTGTACATACTTGTACATTGTTGTGTTTTTGTGTATTATTGTATGTTGTTGCATCTTTTTGTAATATATTCTTGTATACCACTGTATCTTATTGTGTCTTCATGTTTTACTGCAAAAAAAGTGCTCGCATCATGGGATTGGAAGGATTCATGTGCTTTGAAGCAAGCTTGCCCGGACTAAGAAAGCAGCGGAGGGGTTGGGGGGGGGCGCAGCCCCCCCCCATTTGCAAACACAACGTTCGCATCATTGGTTTGGAAAGGATATTCATATGCTTTGAAGCAAGCTTGCCCGGCTTTAAAAAACAGCGGGGGGTTTGAAGGGGGGGGCAGACCCCCCCCCCATTTGCAAACACAATGCTCGCATCATGGGTTTGGAAGGGATTCATACGCGTTGAAGAAGCTTGCCCGGCGCCAAACAAACAAGAAATATGCATTGTGTATTATGAATTCGATAACAAAAAGCAGCATATATACATATATGCTTTGTTATCTCGATTTTGTTATATGTTTAAGGTACTATACGATATTGTGTTCTATTCTACTCTATGCCACTATACTTTGTTTTAATATATACACACATATATATATACATATATATATATTAAAACATATGATGTTATGTTATGTTTCCTTTCCTGACCTTTCATTTCCTTTCCTTTCCTTCCTTCCTTCCTTCCTTGCTTCCTTGCTTCCTTGCTTCCTTGCTTCCTTGCTTCCTTGCTTCCTTGCTTCCTTGCTTCCTTGCTTCCTTGCTTCCTTGCTTCCTTGCTTTGCTTCCTTGCTTCCTTGCTTCCTTCCTTCCTTCCTGCCTTCTCCCTCCCTCCCTCCTTTTCTCCCTCCCTCCCTCCCCTTCCCTCTCTCCGTCGGAAGAACAGAATAAACTATTTCTTGATCCTAAATAAATTTTTTCTTGATCCTAAATAAATTTTTTTTGATCCGCATCCCCTCTCTGAGGCTTTCTTAACGCCTCGCGCAGGTACCTATACAGCCCGTTTCGGATTGCCCACATGCGACGCTGCCCCGGGCCTCACCCTGGTCATCCTTCATCATCAAGGCCGCCTGGCCCTCGTAAATCATGAAGAAGGTGTCCCCGATGTCGCCTCGTACACTCAGTGTGCACACGGCGCATGTGTGCATGATACCAGCGTGTTGTTTGTCTGTCTTCTTGTTCTATGACACATGTTTGTCCATGCTTTTGCATGCTTCTGCGTGCTTTTGCATGCTTGGGCACCTTGGGAAACCAGCTTGGACCCCCCTGGCCAGGTCTTCTCTTCGAGAAGCTGCGCCACCTTCATGGCAAAACTCCCGTGAAAGACTCGGCGCCATTTTTGCGTCTAAAGCTTAGAAGCCTCAACAAGCTGCTCAGATGCTAATCGCTCGAACAGTGCAGTGCACATCAAGCTACAGGGAACTTCAAGTACAAATTAGCATGTCCAGAACAGGCAGGCTTACCAAGGCCTTCGGCAGCTCACATGGAGGCAGCTGCTTCTTGAAGAGGGGTACCTCTGATGGCTCTCACTTGCAGATGCTGCCAGTCACCGAGGCTAAAACCGGAGTAGGCGCCGAGAGGAGGAAGTTCACCTCAGACTTAGACTGTGACGAGACTGTGCCTCGCTATCACACAATGTTGCACTGGATGCGAAACTCCTAAAAACTCCAAAAAACTCCTAAACCTGCTCTGTTCCTTCTGAGCGGGCTGGCCGTGTTCTCGAACTTATCACGCTCTTCGTCCCAGTTCCTGGCCCCAAGGCTTGCTAGATGTTGCTGCGAGCAGCAGTAGCTTCTTTGGACACATGATGGCAGCTCGGACGGAGATCCCCCCTGCCTGAAAACCAGCATGCTGACCACATTCTCCTTGAAGTACTTCAGTGTAGCGATGACACCGTCGCAGCCTCGCGACACAAGCACACAAAGATCTTCTTGACGGCGCGAGTGGGGAGCTCGCATGGGCCCCGGGCAGTGTGGCTCCCGGACGGAGGCCACGGACTTGCGCAGCGTCGCAAGCAGCGGCAGCGAGAGGCCTCAAAAACTAAAGGACCGGATAACCCCATATGCAAAGTTATCTATTCGCAAAAAGTACATAAGTGAATATGAGTGAGTGAGTGAGAGAGTGAGCGAGTGAGTGAAGGCGCGACACAGCTGACCGTGCATGATGCCGCAGCATTCCGGATGTCCCGGGCACCAAACAGAGCGATGGAGACTGTTTTTTGTATAAAGGCTGACCTGTAACCCACAGAGACACGGCAACTAATCGGCCTGATTGCTTTTTGTTTGGGGCTGGTGGGGCTCCATAGGAGATTGAGGACACTGATGCGACCAAGCCGTCTTTGTTTCTCCCTTGTGGTGCTGGATTAGCCAAACTTAAACACGATGCGATGTTGATGACCGAATAACGCCATATGCGCCAGAGAGCCAAACTTCCGTTTCATGGCTTGTGGTTTTTCCCTAGTGGAACGCCCCTCACAAGCCATCTGAGAACATCGCCCAATATGACATGGTCTCACAATGTAACAGTTTTGCAGCCTTCTCGCACGGCGTTCAGATTGGGACGACTTCCGTTTTGCAGAACTTCCAGATCTACCCAGTAGCTGTGCGAACCCAGCACTCACGATTCCAGACCCCTGAGCAGTCGCGGGCGCGTACAAAACAAGGAGACAGAGGCAGACAGAGCACGAGCTCGATAGACAACGGAGCAAGGAAGGACAGCATGCGTGAGCGAGTAGAATCGTGGTAACATTGGTGGTGAGGGGCGCGGGGGCAAGGAATCACGACTTGCAGGGCGCGCAACTTGGCGGCTCAGCAAAGTGGAAAAAATCGGAAAAAATCTGCTGGGTTTTCTGCACTTGGACTTCCCATGGTTTCCCTCTGCACTCTGGGACTGCACTTGGCCGCGAGCCTCGGGAGACCTCTTGGACAGGCTCCACCAAGGAGTGGCCGCTGCGATCCGTACTCCGCGGTGAAACCTCTGGCGATGTCCTTGGCGATGTCTCCTCAGGAATTTCCCTCAGCTCGTGTGGCTCCTTCGAGCCCGGCAGACGGACTCCCAGCTTCTTCCGGAGCAAGAAATCATCCTCCTCCAACGTAAGCCGGTTGCCTTCATCCTCTTTGTCCTCTTTGTCCTCTTTGTCGTCCGCGCATTCTGTGCCTGCCATCCTCCCGCTTGCTTCTCTTGCTTCGATAGCTTTGTCCTCTGCTTTGTCCTCTGCTTTCGCCCCTGATTTTGGCTCTGCTTTCGCATCCGCTTTCACCTCTGCTTTCGCGTCTGCTTTCGCCCCTGCTTTCGCCCCTGCTTTTGCCTCTGCCTTCACCGGCGATACTGCAGTTGGGCCTTGCGCATGATGCCAGGATTTGACTTAATTACAGTGAGATCTACAAGCATGCTGCAGAACACTACTCATGTCATGAAGATGCGATTGCGCCTGCTGCATCACGGGAGAGCCTGCTGTTCGGAACGGCAAAGGCGAATCCCACAACAATGGGAGAGGCAAACCCACCGCCCCCCGCTGTCAGCCGCTGTACTCCGCAGTAAGCCCAATTTCTGTAGCCTTGAGTCAATCGGAAGAAGGGTTTGAGGAGCAGCCGTCGGCAGGCGCACCTACAGGAACGTGCGAAACTAGATGCGGCCATGTGCAGCCGGCATGGAGCCTGTGGGTTGGGATGCCCTTGTGGAAGAGGCTGCCGGTATTCCGGATAACGCAGGGGTGCACCTGGCAAGAGTTTGCAGCTTAATTGACTCCTTAGCTGCTTATGACTCGTAGACGCCTCTCTTGCTTTTGTAGGAAAAGTTCCGGTGGCACAAAACAAGCCCAAACCCGAGACAACACTGACCAGCGCGCGTGTGAAGAGCATTTAAAGAGTCACCAGCTTAAGCTCGCAGCATGTTGCGCGATCCGTGCAACAGTCTGTGTCTTGAACATGTCGCAAGCTGCGCCGTTTGATTGCCTATGACTGCCTGCTTGTGTTTCACAGAGTCCAAAGTCTTACAGGGCTACAGGGCTGCTTGCACGGGCAGAACACAAAAGCCAGCACTGCCTGCACCAACTGGAATTACTGGAGCCACAGGCATCACTGGAGCAGTCACACGACCACGTCCTGTCGAGCTTCAAAAACTCCAAAACTCTGGGAGGCTTCTCAGAGGCACCGCCGGAAGCACACTGCCGGAAGCACACCGCCGGAAGCACACTGCTGGAAGCACTCGGCCTGCACCAACAGGAATTACCGGGGCCACCGGCAGAGCCGCAGGCATAGCCGCAGGCAGAGCCACGGGCGCATGGCCAAGTCCTGCCAAGTCTTCCTACGAGTAGCGTCACTAGCGCCTCTCAAAGCTGCAAAGTGAAGCTTCCCTAATAGTAGACTTCTCGGATGGGCTTCCCTGACCTGGGCCTGGCTGCCTCCTTGGTGACCCCGAGTTGATGATCATGGCGTCAGGGCTCTCTATTGGTCTATGTGACTACAACTACGCACGCGTATGTCACCAAGTTACCAAGGCAGCATATGGCAACAGGTATTTAACCAGCCATGAACATGCCACCAACGTGGAAAAAACACCTTAGCTTAGGGCACCGCACTTGACAAAGGCATCTTGAGGTATCTCCAGGACCTCACCTGCCTCACCCTTCTTTCCTCATTTCTAATGTATTGTTTCTATGTCAGCAACGAAAGACTCATTCTCGAGAGACGGTATGGGATTTTAGGTCTCAGGTCGCTCAAAAAGCACGACAAAGCTCGGAAGAAATGCTAAGAGCCGGCTGTAGGCCACACAGCAGTGCCAGCGTAGAGGCGCGCGCAGCAGCCATGCTCTGCCATGCTCTGCCATGCTCTGCCATGCTCTGCCATGCTCTGCCATGCTTTGCCAAGGCAGGGTGATGCTTCCCAAGCCAGCAGCGAGGCAGTCGCTGCCAAGACGAAGATGCAAACGAAAAGTGAGCAGTACGCGTCTGCCTCTGGTGGCTTTGAACAATAAAAAAATGATTACATTGATTAACGTGTGCCTTCCACTCGCACAAAGCTCAGCGCCAGACGGTCGATGCGTGAACGACTCCCACCTGAACAGTCCGAGAAGAAAGAACGACACCGCCCCCCACAGCCTTGAGCCAAAGCCGTGCCAAAGCCGTGCTGTGCTCACTCTGGCCCGAGAGCCAACTTCCGCAGGGCCTCGGCCAGGATCCCGGCCAAGAGCACCGCCAGGCCACGCACCTGAAGCTCCCAAGTTGGGCGGTGAGAGGACAGAGAACAGAGACAAAATCAGCCCAAAGAAGCCCTGAAGGAGAATGAAGGAGAGAAAGGAGCACGGGAAGAACTCTGTGGCACCACGTCGGCGCCGAGGTGGGCGAGGGCTCCGAAGAGGTTCAGGTTCGAGGCCTGGAGTTGAACACTGAAAGAAACAAAAGTCACTGAGGCAGAGGAGTGACTGCACACGTGTTTTGTTGTGGAGGCTGGAGGCAAGATTGCAGCAAGAGTGCAGAACTGGAAAGAACAAGAAGCAGGTACAGGATGTGGAACAAAACACGTTGTCACAAGTGTTCGTGACAATTTCCAGTGGATTGGCTTCTTTGCACAACATACGGCACAAGGATGCTTTGACGTTTCTGGAACAAGACATCCTGTCACAAGCGTTCATGCCCTTAAATTCGTGAACATGGCACCAAGAAGGCTCGACTCCTGTCGCGCGTGCAAGAACTTTCGATATCTTTCTCGAGATCGTATTCCCACCATAGGGCTTCGCAGCCCTTCTGACACGTGTAACATGGCAAGCTGCGCACCCGCAGCCTCTTCGTTTGACGGGGAGGCTGCTGTGCTTGTTGTCTCTTATTCGGATTTCTGTCCTCCGTGTGCGCGCCTCTCCGTCCTCCAGGAGCTGGGAGGCTCCACAGCTCCAGGTGAGGAGCACCTCTCTCAACAATCAAGGAGCAAGAAGCGCGCCGAACTCCGCGCAGTACATCCACATTCCAAAGGGGAGCACGACCGCAACATCGGCTGCAAGGTTCACGCTGGTAAACCCAACCATGATGTCGCTGTTGACCTGAAGCTTCTCCCACAATCTCACCATATCCGCTCACGCACCGACACTAACTCCAACACTTACCATCTTACCGCCACTTCCAACACATGCCCCGATATCGGCTCTGGCCTCGATGTCGTGCAGCTGAGATCCCATGCCGCTGACCTATTGCCGGGCTTTCTCAATGCTTTCACAAGTTCATGAGTTCATGAGTTCATGCATCCGTGCATCCGAATTTAGGACTCCACTTTCATGCGGGCCGAATCTCGGAATATGACCGCCCGTTCTTGGCCTGAATGGCCGATTCGCGCTGCTCGCCGGTCAGCCGCTCGATGACGTCGAAAAGTACCCATGTCCTGAGGCTCCACACAAGGCTCACACGGCCTCACGCAACTTAAAAGCACCATGCACTGCTCAAGCGCGGCCCCGTGCAGCTCAGCCACGTTGTGGCCGCTAACATGGCCGCGCTGAAGAAGGCGGCTGCTCGGTCCAGGCGCTTCGCGTCCTGAAATGCATGGGACGAACTGCGCATGCACGCACGCACGCACACACACACACACACACACACACACACACACACACAGAGAGACAGAGACACACCGGGGCACTGATTTTGGAAGTTTTTTTGGGGATGTCCTGTGCCGATGCCTTCTTCTTCTCGGCATATAAGCTCACAGCATAGGACACCTCTTGCGGAAACATGCAAAATCCCGAGCAAAAGCATGCAGAAGCTGGGTGTCCCTGCACCGTCCATTGCCATCAGCGCAGCATCCCCCAGCAGAGACAAGGAGTTTCTGAAGCCAAGCAAGGGACGGTCAAACTAAGCAAATTTCAGCGAAGGCAGGAAAGTAAAAGGATGAGAACAAACAAAGCTGAGCCACAAACGCAAGCACGCCACAAAAGAGCTGACTTCCTGCTCAATTTTTTCGTAGCTTGCCCTTGCCGCAATCAAATGCTCAGTGCAAGCGCCTGTGAGAAGGCTGTTGACACCGAACATGAGCCAAAGCGCCCTTTCCTTGCCCAGATTGACGCTCACGAGGATATATGAGGATACAGTTGCATGAAATGTAGTCCCATGTTCTGCCGAGCCGGTCGCGGTGTCGTTGCCACCGTTGCCTGCAAGAGAGTGGCTGAAGCGAGGCCCCACTCCACTGATGCACATCCCACCTCTGCAGCCGCGACCTGTAAGCACTTTAAGCCAAAGCTCGGTCAACCCTCCCGACGACATGGCTGGAGCTGCAAAGCCAAGCGGCCACATTGAGCGCTTGGTGCAGAAGATGCCTTTTAGCACACGAGGATACAAGGGAACCAGAGCAAAGCACGGACCTGCACTGGGCTCCTGGCACAGTCATCCGCTTCGTCAAGCCCTGCCATATGGGCGTTTTCTTGAGCTATGTGCGCCCACGGTTTTACAACAAAAATTGTTGCACTTGGGCTACATTCTCACACGCACAGTGACAGTTCCAACCTAGAATTTCAATTCTACGTCCATTCGGCATGAAGACCCTGCTAGTGGCCGATTAGAGGCCAGACAGAACAAGGGAACAAAATAACAGAACAAGCACATGCCTTACCTAGTTACGACCCCTTCGTGCCGTCTATAGAACAGGCGAGGCTGCTTGGGCCTTTGCACTCGCCAAGAGGCGGGTTGTGACTCGTGCAGTTCATCACGGTTGGGAGTATTCTTGAAAGCATCAGGGCACGATGTATAGCAGCCAAGAGCAAGACGAGGAAGCAGCGGCAGACGATTGGTTAGGGCGACAAGCGGAATCAGAACGGCTCGAATCGCGTCCTGGGATGGTTGGTTGAAGCCCCCCTTCGGCCTTGCCCGAAAAGCCCCTTGACGCACCTCACCAAGGCCCCGCCTAAGGCCCCGCAACCCCCCTTTACTAACATGTTCAAGTATCAAAACAATGGCAATGGGGCACGAAGAGGGCGCAGGAGGCAAGTATCAAGAACAGCATAGAACAACCTCAGCATCCTTCATAAACAGCAGTGCCTTCCTCAAGGGCCATATGGCTGGCCCATGCCGCATCGGTTTCCGAACGCGGCACCGAGCCGATGGCTTAGTCTTTTGTAAGCTGTGCCTTGTTGTTGCTCTGCGGTTTCCGGTACCATGAGTCTTTGCGGCTTAGTGTGCCTGGCCATGCATTATTACCATGCAATGCCATGCATTGGCATGCATTACTCCATGTCCTTCACAAAAACGGCGGTGGGATGAGGCAGGGACACTGGGGTGCCAAGCCGGCACCAGGAACGAAGCAAGCATATGCACGCATGTCAATTGGAACCTTTTTGCTCATCCCTTCAGGACTTTAGCAAAATTTGCAGGTAGCTCCTTGTCAGGAATCGCACGCGGATTCTGTCTAAAGCAACTCGTCATCAGCAGGTCCTGGATATCGATTGAATAAAGCTTCTCTAGGTCCCTGATCAGCCCCTGGTCTTCGGTCCTCCAGCGCTCACACAGAAAAAACCCTAAAACACATATGCCAACCAGTCCAACAGTGAACCACTTGTCAAGAACCCGACCTGACGAGATTTACGGCGACGCCCCGGCGTCCAAACCGGCCAGAGCGGCCAATGCGATGGAGATAGAACCTGACAGAAGATGACACCGGCAACCACCTCTGAGTGTCGGTTCTGAAGCATGCAACTTCATGCAACGTTGCGTGACGTTTGCTTCTTGTCGCAAGCCGTAACCAAGAGGCTCTCGACTTACTGGAACATCGTAGTTGATGACCAGCGTCACCTCCAGGTTGCTCTCAAACCTAACTTCATTCTCAAATCCTCAGAGCACCACGCTCCACTCTTAAGAACACTCTTTGCCTGCTGCACATCCAATCCGCGTCCCAACAAATCAGTTGCGATTAGCTGCCTCGAGCACTCAGAACATCTGAAGGAGCTGATGACATCACACCCACGAGCCCCTTCTCTCCGGGACTCTCCGTCATAGAGCAGCTTTCAGAGCAGCTCTCTTTACTCTACGCACCTCGTCCGGCCATCTCGGAAAGCCTCCATCACTGCGTCGCGCTCCTCTTCCCCCAGCTCAGTGCAGCTTCGCGCGGTTACACGGAGGGCCATCTTGGGCCTCTCCCTCTCCTTTTCCCTCTCAGCTTTCTTATGCGCTCCTGAGTTCAGAGCAAGTCTCTCTTCTATCTCTTTACATCGGGGGGGTCCTTTTGAGGCATGTCCCCGTGGATCGAGGCAATGGGAAAGTTCGCCTCGCGCATCTTCTGCGCCAGCCAATCGACCTTCTTCCGGTTGTTGCCTGAATGACGAAAAAACAGAGAATGAGCATCAGAGAAATAGAGAGAGAGAGAGAGAGAGCGTTCCATGGCGCTCCAAAGCGCCCCTCAAGTTCCCCTTTGCTTCGGTAAGTCCTCACATGTTGTGCTTAAGAAGCAAAGCTGCAGAAGATGACGGCTTGGGTGATTGCCACGGAATCAAAGATATCGCACAGAGTGTCGAACTTCCACTCTTCCTGGACAGCATACTGAACAACAGCTTGCATTTTCGGGCTTCGAGCGGCTAACAAACAGGTGTTTTTGCTTGCGGACGCGGTCCTTCTCCACAGACACATAGTACTGTCGAATGCCCTGCAATGAGAGGTCCTCTCGCTTCACCAGCAACCGGAACGGCTGCTTCATGAAGTCCTTCGCCATCTCCAGCACCTGTCTGCGCAGAGTGGAATGGATGCGCCATGCCAAGCACATAAAAGCCGCTTTTCTTGAACTCTACTGTCTACATCATCTGTCTACATCTGTCTACATCTGTCTACATCTGTCTACATCTGTCTACATCTGTCTACAGTCTTTCTGCCTCCTCAGGCAGCGTGGCCGATACGAGCACAATCTGAAGCCGATCGGGCAAGCTCCGCCTAATGCCATAGACCTCGGTGCGAAGGCCAAAAAAAAGTCGAAAGAAGGAAGAGACAAGAAAGTCCAAGCTTCCTTGCACAATACCAGGGCACTAGGGCACTCACTTGCTCTTTGAATCCTTTGCTAAGCATCTCGTCAGCTTCATCCAGGACCAGCATCTTCACCTTTTTTACCTGTCTAGAATCTTCCAAGCAAACAGTCAAAACATGAAACATGTCGAAACAAACCACGTGAAAACATCACAAAACTCAAAACTTACTTAACAATTCAACAGTACACCGCTTGATCTGAGCGACTTCCAGGTGCCGTTGCTTGATCATGCTCAACACCTTAGCACTGTGACCCTCTGCAACAGGTCACGTAGTGAAACTAAGGACCACGAGTACGAGGAAAGCGGCAGAAAAAAAAGAAAAAACAGCGACAAAGGCTACAAGATGTTGCCGAGATGCACGTCCAGGAGTTCCAGAGATCACGTGGACCCCTCGGAGAGTCGGAGAGTTGCAGACGCAAACTGAGCTGTGCAAATGGACCCTCTCTCGACTTCCCCGACTTCTCGCATATCTCCACGCACATGGACATTGGCGACCCGACACCCATCTCCCGATTTCAGACGTGTCTCATATGGTGTGTTTTCTTAGTAGTAAATGTATGTGCAAGTTTGTGGGAAAGGCAAGGAACGATTCATGGCGCCATCTCTCTGATTTCCAGCAAAGTGCCAGATTTCAGAGCTTTGATGCTGTCCTTCATGCTCTTGCCACCCATGCATCGGTGGATCTTTACACCCAAGTAGTCGCCCAGCGCCAAGCACACCTGCCGAGCATTTGGATATCACTTTTGCGAATCTCCCCTTGATACAATTTGAAAAATAGTCTGATATATGATTTGATATTCCTTGTTGCTGTCACCTTGGCACTCTGCTCGGCAAGTTCACGTGTGGGTGACAGGAGCGCGGCCTCAAGGCAGAGGTGCCAAAGAGCAACATTGCATCCTCGTGTACTCATTGCTTTCCCTTCAAAATGACACACAGTTCTCCCTGAAGGCATACGCACCTGCGGCTCCGCGCTTGAGATGTCCAGGGCTTGCAGGGCACCGAGGCAAAACACAGAAGTCTTCCCTGCCGCAACACAGCCAAACCAAAAAGGGAAAGAGTTCTCAGAAAGCATTCAGAAAGCATTCACCATCGCATTCACTGCATTCACCATCTGGCCTGTGCCGCTTTGGGATTGGACAATCACATCACGGCCTCGAATTCTCAAAAACCACCCAGATTGCGGGAGCAAAGCCAAAAGTGAAGCCAAACGAACAACACGAAGATTATGCAAAGCGATGCCGCAAGGGTTGAAAAGAGCAAAAAAGTGAAACAGCTAGTGATGAGGGCTGTTGAGGATTTTCTTTCTTGGGCCCCAGCCTTGTAGGACTGGGCGGATCGCTCGCTGCTGCACCGGCGACGGCCTTAATTACGGAGGAGCACACGGACGTTGTTCCTTTCAAAAGGGCATGGCTACCGCTAGTCAATGTCAAAACAAGTCAAAACACATTGCCTTTCAAAGCCGTACGCGTACACGCCTCGGAGCACGTCATCCTGCCAACAATGGGCCGGCTCCACACAGCCTGCCCCCCCCCCGCCTTCTGGGAAGACAACCCAGAAAATCCTTGAGGCCCATTTTGGTGAAGGAGGATATCACATCCATGTCCTGGCACGAACACTGTTCCACCACTCGTACATCGTACATGTCGGTATGCGCAGCCTCACATGTGGTTTCGGTTCGATTTTGAAAGGCAATCTGAAAGCTACCGCACATGGACAGGCTGACAAGCACGTCCAAGCCGAAAGTCGGGGGCAAAACTTTCGGTTTTGAAGCTGTGACAACTTGTGACACATTGTGCAAATGGCACACACACGAAAACTCGCCGTGCCGTGCCAAAATGTGCGGTCGCTCTGCACGTGCACTCGCATCCTGTATAGGAGGTTTGGGACGTCGGTCGAAGCGTCATGAGGGTGACCTGCGATCAACATGCAACATGACGACGGTCGAAGGGTCATGAGGGTGACCTGCGATCAACATGCAACTTGTCGCTAACACAGCATGTGCATGTGCAGTTTTTCTCCTTGGAACCCGTTGGCCTCAGGGAATTTCGACGCTGACCAGCTTTCGAGACAAGATCGGCAAGATATTTTCTAGCTTGGAGAACAGAGGCGAGATGGAGAAGAGCAGGGCATGCGCCAGATTTAACACCACAAAATCGTGCACAAACGATTCTTGGTGAGTCTTTTCATGACTGGATGGTGCCTTCTGACGCAAAATCGCTGCTGCACAAAGGGAGTGAAGACAACCGTCACGTGCTCAAAAGGAATGTTGCTCTCTGTGCCAGCAACCGAAGGCGCCTCCGACGCTTCAAAATGCAACTCTGCATCCTGAACCGTCATGGCAATGAATTGGGCGCTACATTGTGAATCCGGAGAACAGAAACGATCCTGCCATTTGCCGCATGCCTATGCACGAAATACACTCAAGTGCTTCATGAATTGAAACGTCATGATATGTTTCGGCGAAGCACCCCTTTCCAGCACCCTGAGCCAAAAAAAACCAGCCACGCACATGGTGTCTCAACCTCCAGGGGCACATCATTTCGTAGCCGAATGCAAACCCCAATGCAACAGATACCTACAAATGCAATCTCCATCATACATGCTCATGTTGCGAGTACTGCTAAAGCACTTCTGTGTTTAGCCAACCCTTACGGCCGGGGACGATGTCATTTGTGAACACACCCGAACAAGCCATGGCATGGCTAAACCACCGTTTCCTGCCCGATGGTTGTGAGAGCTCTATGTTGGTAGGCGGTTGGCGGGTCTTGAAACTAAAGTGCGAGTGCAACAACGCAGCGATCAATATGGGGCACAGCAGCCATCCAAGTGCAAGTTCGGGCTTAGATAGGAGGGCATATCGCAACTTGTACAGGTTATCTACCTGACAGGTTGAGAGTGACCGCAAAAACAGCATCACCTTGACTTCCAGGCGCTACTTGCACAGCAACCCAAATCAGAAAAGCACCCATACTTTCAGTTTAAAGACTCTCTTGCATATACGGAAGCCGCAAAACTTAAACAGAAACCCGCAGAACCATTCTCGGAGCATTGCAAGGATTGGAATTTTGCACACCGCAGTCTTCCGGACTCGGTGCTTGGACTTCATCTGCTTCTGCATCTGACGCGCCTTTGTCTCCGCCTTACGGAGCTGGCTGAAACGGCCTCCGTAGACCCGGTTCCCGTTCTTGTTAGCTTTGTCCCAAAGCTGCACGCCAAAGCTCCCGCCCCCAGCATTGTCCGGATAGAAGTGCACGCCAGTGACTTTGCGATCCGTCCCCTTGCAGCAGTTCTGAAGCATCCAGCAATAAAGATCATCATTGTAGACGCGTTTCTCGATGGGACTGTGGGCGGCATCATCAAACTTCGTGAGCCTCGTCGCAGCCTCACGGTCTTTGTCAGCTTTGAAGGATCTGACCGTGAGAATCGAGCCGCTGGAGGGCATGACTTTGTCCTTCTTGCTGTGAAAGAGCCACACGGGCAAATGCTTCAACTTCTTGATGTGCTCTTGTGTGGGGGCTTCCTTGGCCAGCTTCTGAAGGGTTGCAACCGAAGCTTCGTCCGCCAACTCCGGGCTGAAGCCTCCGCAGAGGCCGACGAGGGACGCGAAGAGGCTCGGGGCTTCGAGCGCCGCGGCGAAGCAGCCGAAGGCTCCCATGGACAGCCCCGTGATGTGAATTCTTTTGGCATCCACGGGAAAAATCTCAGCGATCGACTTGGTGAAGAGGACGACTTGCTGCGCCAACGTGGGCCAGACCCGGCCGCGAGGACATTGCGGCGCAACCACTAGGAACGCATCTGCGTTCCAGGGGCCGTGCCTTTTCAGAAGATCAAGGTCGCCCTCCTTGTTCGAAGACCGCTCCCCCGCTCCGTGAAGAAAAACCAGCAGAGGCCACGGGGCGCTTGGTGCTGATGTGGCTGATGTGGCTGATGTGGCTGATGTTGCTGATGTTGCTGGTGCTGGTAGCTGAGCCAAATACGGCAGCCCAGCGACGCGGCCGGACTGCAGCCGGCGGTTTACCATCTTGTGCCTACAGAAACTTCAAAGCGTGCAACCGGGCGAAGCTACCTTTAAAGCTGAAGCTAAGCTAAAGGCAAATGCCACATGCATTATTCAATCAAGTGTGTACAAGACTCAACAAGGTGTAGGTGCGAAAAGATTTCTGCCACTCACCCGAGCACGGGGAAACGGCTGCAACCGGAACAGATATTCAGCCAACCACTCAAGCAAATTCACACGCGCAGATCTGGAGGAAATTTGCAAGCTTATCCATCATGCACACACAAACCGCATATCTGCGTTTTATCCTCGCATCGAGGGGATTGCCCTGCTGATAGAGTTTTCGGGAGAGCACGCCAGTATCCCGTAGACCTACACAGAATGAGACAACTACAAGTTTTTGTTGTCTGCAGGGATGTCATGCTGGTTCGCGCAAAATCACCTACATTGTCTGAGGGAAACACGTAAGAATACGGCTGGTGAGCCGGCGATCGCCGAGCGGTAGACCTGGCACACTTTAAAGCAGCATGTATATACGCCACATGGCTGTGTCCTGCATGGAAATCTCATTCTTCGTGAGTTTGTTTTTGTTTTGTGAGTTTGCAATTGCGAAAGAATACCATGTATGGACAACAGCACATTTCCCCGCCCCGGAATGAAATTTGAATTCTTGACAGCCTTGAACTCCGAGGGTGGAGCCTTGGAGCCTTGGACTGATGGGACGAAACGCAACATGGACCAACGGTGGGAGCAAAAGGGAGCAAATGCGAAACGAGCGGAAACCTATTTTCTCCCACTCTTGCTTGTGCCTATAAAGGGCTTCGGTAAAGACACCTCTATACAACTGTACAAGGTACATGCTTTACCTAGAAAGTGGCGTGGGGTCAGCAACTTTCGCACACCCTCCTTAAAGCATGTGCCTCTTGCTGCTCCCCCGTTGGTCGCGCATTGGGCTCAAGATGCGTCACTCAATCTTGCCTTTAAAGCAATACTTGCAAACGGTGATACCTTGGACATCCGTGGCTTGGATCAGTCCGTGACACTTTGGATTTGCATGGAACTTTCGTCCCTTGCGACTCACATAGAGCTTTGCATCTGGGCACTTTTCACCCATGTAGATGAACACCTCTCGGTTTCCAAAATGGATACACTTACAGAGGCATGTGCACACCATCACTGAGAGCGTGATGATGTTCAGAACCACACTGACTACTACGAAGAGCAACCATTGGGTTCCGGTGTCACCCGGTCCATGAGGAATGAGATCCATGAGGTGACTCCCTCAGAGGCCGGTGTCTAGTAACAGCACTGACAAATTGCTGTATGTTCAGCTTTGAGCACTGCTGCGGCTGCCACTTTTTCCAAATGTTGACTGCTCCGATGGTTTGCATGCTGTTCTTTGTAACGTGCTTGTCAAGTCCTTGCTTGTCCAAGGAAACCAACCCGAGCATTTCGCGTGCTTCTTCCATCTCCTTTCCGGTTGTTAAGTGCTTCGTCAAAGCATTCGATGGGTTTTCCGTTCCTTTGATTTTCTGCACGATCACTCTTTTCTCTTTCACAAGCTCTTGAATGTAGAAATGTCCCAGATCAACATGTCGCATTTTCCCAACACCCAATCTCCGTGCAACTTGGATGGCTGCACTACTGTCACAAAACAGTCTTGGCACATCGATCGTCATGCCAAAGTCTTCCACACCTAAGTTCCGCACGAAAACTAGGTCCTGGGCGCACTGAGTTAGGGCTCTGACTTCTGCCTCTCCTGAGCTGGTCGCAGGAGTTCCTTGCTGACTCCGAGCAGAAGTTTCAACCACGGTCCCTCCTAGGACTATTGCCTGCCCACTGGTGCTCTTGCGGTCTTCTCTGTCACCTGCCCAGTCACTGTCGCAATACCCCTGCAGCGGAATCCCTGCAGCTGGTTCGAAGTCTTCACTCATCTTTGTCACATGTCCCACGTGCATGGTTCCCCTGAGATATCTACCTAACGTCTTGAGGTTTTGCATGTCACATTCCCTGGGATTCCTAATCCGCTTTGCAAGCTCCTTGCATGCGAATTTGATGTCGGGTCGATCCTGCGACAGGTAGGTAGCACTGCCTACACAGCTAGCGTAGATTTCTTTGGCTCTGCCCTCCAGAAGCTTGTCATCCTTTAGGTTGAGCTTCTTTCCCGGCACGGGGCTTGGCTTGGCGTCCTCTAGTCCTAGCATCCTAAGGATGTCAGTGGTATGCTTTTCGTTCGGCATCGTAACCACAGCTCCCTCCACCAGGATCTTCTTTCTGCCAAGAAATTCACTCGTGCTACTGCTTGCTGCGCCTGGCCATTCAAGCTCACCCACTTTTAGCTTGCATCCGCACTTCGGCAGCTGAACTTTCAGCAGGTCATCCAGCAACTCTGCCGGTCCACAAACGTCGAAATCGTCTATGTGGTGGATCAAAACGATCCCTGTTCGCACGCATCGAAAGACACATGCGTCTAGTGTCCCCCTGTGAAACTGATACACTCCCTTCGGGAGTTCCTTGGTCAAAATGGTTTCCAGACGATCTCTGTACTGCGCTGCCGCTGACTGCCTTCCATACAGATTTCCATCGATCTGCCATAGCACGCT